TGGATTGTTAGCCTTTCGCCAGACTGACCCCATGCTCACTAAAAAGTGATTATTTCCTAAACTATTAGACCGATTTTCATGAAATTTTGCATGCATCTCGGTAGATGGTTACGCTATAGCAAAACGGCATTGGCAACACTCTTGATGACTTCATTAGATTAATTAAGACTTAATTACGACAAAAAGTTGGACATTTTGCCTTTTCCCGACCGATCCCATGCTCACTTAAAAGTCAATATTTCAGAAACTATTCAACCGATTTTCATCAAATTTTGCATGCACCTCGGTAGTAGTATACACAATGGGGCTACAGGATTAGGGACTTCCAAAGGGCTCAATTTTTAAATTGATCCATTGGGGGGGGGACCTGGTCCCATAGCCCCATTGTGTATACTACTATTAAAGTTCTTTATACTTATCTATGCTGATGATTTATGTATTTTTGTAGACTCTGTTCTCGAGTTACAAAAGAAAATAGACGTTTTACACACGTTTTACAACAAATGGGGCTTAACAATCAATTTAGATAAGACTGAAATATTGTTTTTTCGAAATGGTGGCAAATTAAGGAAATATGAAAAATGGAAACTGAGCGATGTCCCAATCAAGATATCAACCTACTATTGTTATCTCGGTATCATTTTTTCAAATAGATTGTGTTGGCCCAAAGCTGTACAAACATTAGTCCAGAAAGCTACTAAAGCTGTGGTTTCCATTCATAAACTAAGTTATAAACTTCGTAATATTTCTCCAAAGGTTCTGTTAAAAATGTTTGATTCACAAATCAAACCAATAATTCTGTATGGTTCAGAGATTTGGGGTATCCATCAGTGGTTGTTTCTTGAACGCTTTCAAGCTAAATTTTGTAAAATTTCAAATTTACAAAATTTAGCTTGAAAGCGTTCATGAAACAAGTTACTTGTTTTTGGTGTTGGCTTCAAATCTACCAATGTTGCTGTATTTGGTGAATGTGGTCGTTATGGTATTTACGTTGATACATATGTCAGATGTTATTGAAATGCTATTGAAAATGAAATGTATTTTATTTTTGTTTGTCCTGTTAATCAAGATATACGTCTTAAATATGTTCCTCACTTACACGTGGACACTATCAATCACAGAGAGAATCTTGAAAGAATGCTACATTCCTCTGATGTTTTATTGTTAAAAAACCTGGCAAATTTTGTGAAAGACGCTGTCAGTCTACGATCATCATATCTCTAAAATTTAGGAAATGCAGCGCCAATTGTAAATATTGGCATATAATATATACGTGGGCCTGAAGCCTTATTACTGAAATAAATGAATGAATGAACGGTTACAACACGTGTGCCATCAACAGGACTGCCGCCAAAACGTAGTACAATGCCTGTTAAAAATGGAAAACGACACCAACCAGTTTAGCTTCATATTGAAGAGTGAACAAACTTGGCACCACGATGTGATAAACATGTAAATGGGGCCACCCATCAGGAACTTCTTTCAGTTTCACATATAAATACACTGTGTGCTTATCAACTTGTTGACTAAGGGTTACAATATAAATTTATGTTGAGTGTCATGATGTGGAGGTTTTTCTGTAGACAACAACGACCATTTTGGCACAACATGATAAATGGAGAGATTTACTCATAAATTGTATTCATATGTAGCTTTTAATGTTGAGTATTAAACTGTCCTAAATAAAATAGTTAAATCTGGAATGACATTACATTGCCTTTGCCTTCCCCAGAAGCCCAAGTGTTTCATGCAAACTGTGTCTGTCCAGCCAGGGATATTGTTTATGCATGTTAACACTGTAACATTGTCACAGGTGTTCCCACCCACCTGGAAACGATTTTAACACCCACCTTTGCCAGTACTAAGTGGGAGTTGAACAGGGTGTGTAGGTTTCTTCATGAAGTGCAAATAACCTGGTGACCAAATGGGAATAAGCCTGTTTGTTCAAACAATCCTAAAGTATGGCTTACACGCCCACAAATGTGCCCACAGTGGATTTTGTAAATGTGGAATATTCCCTGTAAAAAGGAATGCAATCCAAGATGAGGCTTTTGCCCCTGGCAAATCCTTTGATATATATTTGATTCATGCAGAGAAGGGGCAGCTGATAATATTCCTGTTGATGCTGAAGGTGAAAATCCGGTGAATCCTGATACTATCACACCTGACGTTGGTGTGTCTGCTACACCAATAGCTGGAATAGCAGCTTTACCAGAGGGCACTACTTTTCTGTCTGACACTGACTTCGATATATCTGTTCTGACGCATAACAAGCCCTGTTCTTGGGATGAATCAAGCTAATTTGTTGTCAGTATTACAGATCCTGCCGAATCACTCCTTAACCCTTGTCGAAAAGAGGCAATAGAAAAACCAAAACTTGAAAACACTTGCTTCTCAAAATGTAATTTTTTTTGAGATTCACGAATGAAATCTCACACAGTGCAGGTTCTTAAAACTGTACATTGCAGACAAGCATTCAAGCAATGAATGATGCTGGTTTGTGTTCATGAGTGGAGCAAAGCTCCATGAGAAGTTATATTGGCCATTGTCCAATGACACAGAAATCACACCACCCATGCTCTGTCCCCCATGCTTTCTGCCAACTCGGTTCAGCCTTTGTCTCATGCTGCACCATCAGTTGACAGGCCTTTGTTCCTTTTTGGAATGAGCCTTGCACACTGAATACTATGGGAACTAGAAGGCCAGTGTCATCAGGCTTTCTCTCAAATTAACAACTATCTATTCAACTTTGCATATGGTGAAAAAGATCTGTAAAACGCCATGGTCTTGAACACGACCTCGTTCTAGTTGACTGGTTTTTGATTGGCTGATAATAATGTGGGCGGGGTTGAACTTGACATTAAACTGACTTGTCTTGTAGCTTGTGTCACATTATTGCTCTGAACAATGCCATTAACTTCCTTTCGGCTGTTTCAGGTTGGGTGTTTATTGTTAATGATTAAACATGCAGTCTGTGAAGTTATTATTGTTGTCTTATTTTAAACCCTAGTTTAACATTTAATTCATCTCAATTATTTAAAATGAATCATTAAAACACTACCAACAACAGCACAATCTTAATCCCTTCTCATGTGTATGCTCTATGAGGCTTAATCTCACACTGTCTACTCTACCCTGTAATCTCTCCTTTCGGTCAGTTCATTATGCCAGACAGGTAAATACCACGTGTTGTTTTAACTAATTGTAGGGATACTGTCACATATGGGTTATGGGCTGTAGGGTTTTTTTTGGATATAGAACATTCCAATGTTTTCAAATTGCAGTCACCAAACCTGTTTTTGGAAGGTGATCTTGTTTTCTTAGTCCATCAGGTGAATGAACACGCAAGTGTTTGACTTCGTGATGTTGGTGTACACACTGTATTCATGTTGTAAAAAATGTTATAATAAACACATTGTATACAAATAAAATATTTGCCCCTTTTGCTTTGTGTTAGTTATTTCTTGCTTTAATTGCTAGTGTTTCTTTGGGACTGATCACACTTTACATGTTACTACTATAACACAACGGATAACTCTGAATTCTCACCAGCTGACACTTAAGGAGATTGTCTGATGTAAAACCACGATAAGGATATGTCAGTTTTATATTTTGCAGCTATATTTCTTATAATATTTGTTATCAGCTGTTAAGGAGGTTACAGCAATTATTTTTATCCTTTCACATTTTATGTATATTTTGCAGATGTATATGACTAAGTATCACAACAAATAACCGATCCTTTGCACTTCTATGGAAAATAAAAATGTAATAAAACTGAGGTTCAATGCACTATACTATAGAGACCATGTACCAACTTCTCCGACAATATACAATGACGGGTACTTCTCTAGTGAATCTGCATTGACTTATTGACTTACGTAACAGCATTTCATAGAAAAGCTTAGTAACATACAGGAATATTTATGGGTAAATTTCGTCATCTTTTTTATGACAAAGCTGAAAGTTACTCGGAATTTTCTTAAGATTATGAATCTGGAACTTAACTCTTTCAGTGTTTATTTTCCATACAGGCATAGCCTGCACCTGAATAGAGGCTCAATACAATGGTCGAACATAGCAATAATAATGCCAGCAAAATATACCATGAAAGCTGACAAATAAATTCCCTTTCTAATTGGTTTTCAATGATCATATGATAGGCAAATGACTTGCATACTAGTACAAAACATCGTCGGAATCAGGGTCATCATTATTTCTTGTGAACTGCTGGAATTGTCATCAATATTTCTGTCGGTGCTATAGCTAGAAATACTTTCAAATTGAAAAGGTTGTGCATATGTGTTATTATCTGTATCTGGTATAACCATTGAAATCCAAAATTGACTTCATGGGTTGATTTATTGACCAAAATAGGAGTAGATCTCAGTAAACGAACAGGCACTGTACTGGTGCTTTGCGAGTGTTTTGATATTGCGAGTGTCTGCTATGAGGTCACACGATCACGCGACCGTCTACCTCATTATCTTGAGACAATAATTGCGAAATGTATACGAGTGACGTGCGTTTCTGATTCCTAATAGAAGCTGTGTAATGAAATATTACTCTGTTTTGTGTATATTATATTGACCGATGAAATAAGCCATCTGCATTGCTCTTTTTTTAAATCCTTTAAGGTTATAAATATCATAATAAAGCCTGTAGCACAATATGAATTTTTTTAAACTTTCCTAATGAGTTGAAACTCAAGACTTTACAAAAGTGAAATGTTCGAAAAGTCATAGTCTTGAAAGAAAATACCATGTCAAAACAGAGTACCATATTGTCACTCTGTGACAGGAAGCTGATGCTAATTGTCATTCGGTGACTATGTGAGCTGATTAAAATGGAAACATGACGAGAAAAAGTTTTGCTCAACTCACTGCAAAGGAGAGGTCTTCATGAACTATAAATACTAATAGATGCATTTGATTGCAGAATAAATCATTTTTACTGAGTTACTTTTTTTCCTGTTGAAGTATACATGTCTGCTGATTTACCTAGTGTCTTGTATGTAGTAGTCAGGACTCACGTTGACTGTGAGGTCAATGTAGGAGCAGGTGGCCTCTAGCAGCGCCTCGATCTTGTACCTAAGTTCGGCGAAACAGGGTCTGTCCTCTGCCCTGGGGTGCCAGCATGACAACATCATCTGATAGCTGAAAGAATGCATCACTATAACTTCCTGTTGCTGTATGGCCACAATATTAAAAAGACAAAAACATCAGATGCAGCAAGGCAACAGGGCTCACTAATACCATGACCTTTACTCCAGTATCATCTAATGAACAATTTTGATACTGGAGATACGTATACTGAAGGCATTGGAGCCAGATTGTCTTTAAGGTGAGGTAAAATGGGGTTGAACATTGTACTTAAGACTATTTCACTCACATGACAACGTGCATGCATGTGTATGTGTGGCTGCTTGTACTAGCCCAGACTTAAGCTGGTTATATAGTGCTTGCCTGCTGAGATACCATGCTGCAGTTAAGCATGAATACCCCACTCAGACACATTATACTGACTCCAAGGCGACCAGTCCTTGTTGTACCCATTAGGTAGGGACCAACAAGTACTATTTTTTAACGTCGTTTGGTATGACGCAGCCGGGGATCGAACCTGCGACCTTCCACTCTCCGGGCAGACGCTCTAACCACTACACCACAGAGCCGGTTGGGCGTTGTGTTTAAAAGCAACAATATAACATAGAAATGGCAGGATTCAACGATGAACTGCAGTATCATTGTCAAGTTTTCTTGATATGATACACTTGACTTGACACTGATTAATATTCTAACCCAAGATTGACTGTCATTTGGATGAATGTTTATGTTTTATATTTTCTTTTATACTTTTGTGACTTCCTGGTATTACGGAAGCTCTGATATTATTTACATGACATCTTCTAAAGATCACTGTTTAAGACACAAAATGGTAAGAAGGACATCACTGATTAGGATTTCCCGAATATCAGGGAAACAGGTTACTGACTCTCACATATGATAAGGAGGCGGCTGCATACTGACGTGTCAACACCGAGCTCTGCATGTCTTGACCCATAAGTGTTGTCTGGAGCCATATATCTAACACTACGAACACTGTCTGATGCCTGTCGACCTCCTACATCATAAAATGTTCTCAGATGACTAAAAAGAAGAACAAGAAACCATCCGAGGTAAACAAAGTTGAATGCACGAAAACTGTCAACACCCACAGTCAAATATGGAAACATACCGAGCCAGCTTGCTCTCACACCCAACCTGTGACTGGTACACCGAAACTTGTCCTAGAAACTTTAAACCTCATCACAGAACACAATTTGACATCACAGATACCATCCCCTGGTACCTTCACCTGTATAGGAATTTCTCTGATAGATTATGCTATTGCTTCATTTGATGTCTTTCCTTTCATATCGCACTTTTCTATCCGCGATTTTGATCCATTGTTTTCAGATGTTCACTCTGCTCTTGAGCTAACGATTGAGTGTCCTTCTCAAATCTATACACAGCTTGCCAACATGACAGAAACACACGCATGTCCAACAACTGACCACGAGGAAGTGGAACAGTAACCTGTCAGAGAACTTTCATTCAGAGATTAAAATGAGTGACATTGCTAATATACATGAACAACTAGATAGCATGTCCTGTGACTCTGATGTTGGAACACAAATTGACGATATTGTTCAGAATATTAATGACATGTTCTGCTCATGTGCTAAGAGTGTATTCGGTGAATATGAAGTTAGGAAAACCCTGAGTCCTGTTAAGAAAAGGTTATGTAAACCATGGTTTGGCTGAGAATGTAAAGTTGCCCGCAGGAAATATTTCTCTGCAAAAAGTGCATTTTATTTACACAAAACACTGTCAAACAAGATTGGCCTTCAGAAGGCAAGTAGATCCTACAAGAAAACATAAGGAAAACATAGTAATTAATTTAGACATAAGTTGCAATGTAAGTTTGATAACCTTCACACAAGTGTTATGAAGTCCTTCTGGAAACTCTTGAAATCTGGAAATACGGATGATAAATGACCCCCTATTGATAAACTATTCCATTACCATAAAGAATTAAGCACTGATGATAATGATGAATCCAATGAAACATGAATACAAGATGTAGATGACAATGACTATCTTGATCAGCCTATTACAGAAGATGAAATTATGAAAGCTGTGAAACACCTTAAAACTAATAAAGCCAGTGGTGTAGATAATATCATAAATGAATATATTAAATGCACAATAGACAAGATGATAAAGGTGTACACAAAACTCTTCAATAAAATTCTGGATTCGGGTTGTTACCCCCAGCACGTGGCTCAATGGAATTATTCGACCCATTTACAAATACAAGGGTGACTATCTGGATCCAAAGAATTATAGGCCAATAACGCTGTTATGTTGCAAGATAAATTGTTTACATCTGTTCTCAACAACAGAATAACTATTTATCTTGATTCTTTAAATGTTTTATCTGCGAATCAAGTGGGATTTAGAAAGGGTTATACGACCTCTGACCATATTTTCACTCTTTTTAGCATAATTCATCTTATAAAAAGTGAAAAGAAAAAGATATTTGGTGCTTTCATAGATTTTGAAAAAGCTTTCGATAATGTATGGAGAACTGGAATGTGGATCAAATTACTAAATTATAACATAACTGGTAAATGTTTCCGTGTTATCCAATCTATGTACAGCAGTATAAAATCACGTGTAGCATGTAAAGGACAAACATCAGAATATTTCAACTGTCTTAAAGGTGTAAGACAGGGAGAAAATTTATCTCCTCTTCTTTTTGCTATATATTTATATGACACTGAACAATTTTCACCTCTTTTTCATGTGATAGAGATGTTTTTGACAATGAAGAACTATGTATATACTTGAAATTATTTGCCTTACTTTACGCTGACAACACTGTCATATTGGCAACTTGCAAACATCATTTACAGTATCTGTTGGATATATTTACTGAATATTGTAAATCAGCGAAACCTAAAATCAACGTTGAAAAATGTAATATACTTATATTTAAAAGCAATAGAAAGGACTATAATCATAAATTTGCATTCTCAGATACTTACCTAGAGAATGTTGATGAATATAAACACCTGGGTATCATATTTAGTAAGAAATGTACCTTCACATCAGCAAGAAGATCATTATGTGAGAAGGCTATTAAAGCTATGAACTACATTTTATCAAAAGCTAGACGTTTTAATTTATCTATTGCCTGCCAACTGACGCTATTTGATGCTATTATGATTCCAATCTTAAAGAACAAATAAACTTTGTTTTTTTGTACTCTTTTAACTATTACATATGAAAGATTTGTGGTTAGACTTATGCGGAACACCAAATTCATTCTTAAAAAACTTGTGGTTAATTAATACCGAGCGATTAAAAGTTGCCAAAAAGTCGCCTGCTTCACTCTCGCCCGCCAACGAAACCACAGACAGGTTACGTAACTCTGTCGCCATAGCACTGCAGTAATGTCATATAATGAACGATTTTCAGTTAGTTGTATAGAAAGTGTGTAGCACGCTCATCATTTTGATGATCTCTCGACATCAACGACGACATGCCGAATCGTTGCGTTGTCGTCAATTGCTCCTAGTGGTCAGGCGATGGTGTCACCATGCACAGATTTCCACAGGACCCCGCAGTTCGTGCTAAAAGGGTTATGTTTGTGAGTGCGAAGCGTGCGTTGTGGAAGCCTGAAACGATATCTTACTTGTGTTCAGATCGCTTCACGGAAGTTAAAGAATCAAAACTACTTACTAATTGTAGTAAAGTAAAGATTTTCCATGACACAACTTGTAACATAGCGATTTCTTCCTCGGAAGTGAGGTTGTGGTCGAAGTAACAATAATATTGTAAGTAGTATTATATTGACACCCACCTCGCTGCAAGGAGAGAAATTGTTATGTTATAAGTTATGTCATGCAAAATCCTATTGGCCATCAATCAAATACATATTTTACTACCAGTAGAAAGTAGTTTTGATTTTGTAACTCTGTGAAAACAAACCTAAATAGCGGATGTTCGCGACAGGGCACCGCCATTTTTGAAAATCGTAAAGTGACGGGCTAAAGTCTGTTAGAATTAATGAGATGATGGTTTGTTTTCATCAAGTTAGAAAATCAAAACTACTTTCTACTCGTAGTTAAATATGTATTGGAATCATAACCAAAAGGATTTTGCATGACACAACTTATAACAGAACGATTTCTTCCAAGGAAGCAAGGTGGGGGTCGAAGTGACAATACTGCGCGATAAATTTCTTGCTACATTCACGTGGTTAACGTCCACTCACCAGTATGTAGATACTAGCCAATGTGCGTCTTTATATTTGGTCTTATAATCCTAATTAGTTTATTATCATACTTGTATGCATTTTGTAACTAAATAAACAGCAGAGTGAGTGAGTGAGTGAGTTTGGTTTTACGGCGCTTTTAGCAATATTATAGCAATATCACGGCGGGGGACACCAGAAATGGGCTTAACACATTGTATCCATGTGGGGAATCGAACCCGGGTCTTCGGCGTGACGAGCGAATGCCTTAACCACTAGACTACCCCACCGCCCCCAAATAAACAGCAGATGATCTGCTGATACTTATAGTGAATTTATAACAGAACTGTAATATCTAGACATTTTATAGTTTGCCAATGTGAATCATAATTCGCACACACACCCTAGTGTATGTTGTCGGTCTCATTACACTTCACGGCGAAAACAATTATTCTGTTGAATGCTACGACAAATGAATAAAAACAAAATGCAAATATTAAAATTAAAACAGATTAAAGTTATAGGAACAATGTCAGGCTATTACCTTGTTCGAGGAATGTATCCATCAATATCCACAAAAACGAGTGATATGCCATTCATCTGCAGCTGTTCCAAGTGATGTGTCTTTTAACAGTATATGTACGAAAAAAGTGATAAATCTTCTCAGGTATTTCACATTGGTGTATAGTCTCATTGGTCACCCAAGATAGCACACCTGGCAACTAATTGCATAATGTCCGCCTTTCTTTAAAAACAGTAATTTAGTTAGCCAATAATGGGCAATCAATCAATGTATTGCCGGTTAATCCTTTGAAAGAAGGACGTTGTTTTTACACAGACACCGACACGACAGAGT